TTCGCCTTTTTCAGTCGCGTTACTGCGTATGTGACTCATCATGTATGTCTGGAATGAATATTCGAAGATGATTTGGCAGGAAATGCTATTACATTAAGTTCATGTTTGCCCCGTTTGAGGTAGATTTTGCATGCTAGATGTCAGGCATGAGTCATAGAGATAGATACCACGTGCATAAGCCTTATTTTCGCTGGCTGAACCTTCCTCATAATGTTGCGGGTTGATAGAGGTGATAATTCTGGAGATCTCATTGTTCAAGCTTTTTATTGTGGTGTAGAATGATGTTCCCCTGGAAGTCGTTTCCATTGCACCTACGTATCACTGAATTGTGTGCACGAGGATGTGTCAAGTTTTGGGCATTTTACCCGCCATCAAATAAGCCTTGAGTTTGGAAGCAAAAAATGGACTCATTTTGGTATCTTTCCGTCCAACCATTTCTCCGTACACTAGTATATGTGTCAAGGTCGGCTTTGAAATGGTTGTTAGTGGAGAGACGCACACGATGTCGGCACTAGCAACGATACTAGTGATTTTGGTCATAGTGTGGCGGCGGAAAATTAAGCGCAAAAGTTGCAGTATGTCCGTTGTTTGGAGTTTCTTGATAAACAGTTATTTTTTATCAGAATTTCCGCTCGCGTCGGAAGAAGGCAGAACGAGATGGTTCGGTTCGCCTTTAGTTATTTTGCCCTTAGTTAGTTGTTCAGGGCTCACCCCGAGCGTTATTAAGCCGATGTAAAGGTTTATTGTCCAACCGCCGCATGGCCTAAAAAACATTCCCCATTCATTAGCAATTTTCAGGGGCGTCCCTTTAGCCGAAGCTGTTCCTCCCTAACTACCTCCGTTCTATGGTCTGTCAAATGCTTTCGCTCAATCACTGTCTTTGGTGCTTGCATGTGAAGTCAGGTGCAGTTTTTAGCGAGAGATTGAGGTGTTGTTTCGTAAAAGAGGTTGGGGGACTCAGCAATGAAAATGGCAAAGCTACATCCGAAATAGATCAAAAATGGGGGATTGGAGCTAAAATTGTTAGGGGAGGGCTCTTCCCTTCCCAACTGAAAGGAAACTCCCCGTGGGAAGATTTGAAGGGCATGGAAGAGAGTGGTCATGGTTCGTAACGGTTCACCCTAGCGTTTCATGTACCCCACATGTGATGTCAGTTGGTCAGTTTGCTTTGCAGGACGTCATTGACTGATGGCGACGTGCCGGACTGCCTTGGTATTCCAGCCTCTCACCATTGGAATTGGGCGCTTTGCTGCAACATTTTTCGTACGGTTATGCTACGCTGAATGATACGGTTTGTTGCACCTGTTCAGTTCATGTTTCACTTGCTAGCGTTGAAAATGTTTGCCTGTGCTCCAGAAAATAATGGCCCTGAATTTGTACTGTTGACATGAAAAAGTTAGCTGTTGGCGAACACTTTCCGGCGCTAGAATATAGTTGATTTAAGATATGTATTAAAAGAAAATGAGTAATCTTTGAAATGTTTTGTATCAATTTGCGAAACGCCATGGATAACCGGTGATACCATGCACCACAAGCTCCCTGTCTTCTCTCGCGCACGTGAACTCGTACTTCGAATATCTCTATATTATTGATACTTCTACCGAAAGTAAAATACTGATATCAATCAGCGACGCTTCTAGTCGTGTTATGAGTCGCGACGTGGGCTGGTTTGAAACCATCAATGGTATTATTAGAATACATGCCTTATTTGTTATAACTGGTACATGCATTAGAACTCGAGAACTATGTATCAAGGGCAATTCACTATGAGGGCATAGTGAACTGCCTTTCACCAGGATGTGGAACATCACATTGCTTTATAACATCCCCAAGGGATATAAGGTACTACTGTCGTAGAATGCGCAGACTTTCGAAAGTCGGTTTAGAAGATTTTGTCTGTCAAAGGACTTCAGTTCAGACGTTACATTAACTGGCATCCTTTCGAGGGATGTGTAGTGTTTTCAAACTTCATTGATGTAAGCAGCAAGTTATTCAGCGCAACTTTTCATCAGCATTTAACGGCGTGCGGTTTTTCTCAAGCGCTCCTCATTCTGGTCACGGTATTCTCAAGATAGACATCACGGAAGCATCACAAACGTTGTTGCTCAAGATGCAGTTTGCTTGCGATCATGCTGCTGCTGTTACAGGTGACTCCGTTTACGCGCGTATTTTCCCGCGTTTGAGCTCTTGCAATTTTGCTGCCCGTGGTTTCTGCCAACGGCTCTAGCTGATGGAGGCCGGCTGGCAGAAACTTCCAGCCGCTTGCTGCCAACCATATGAGCCTCAAGGTCCGGGATGAAAGCCGACAACGGTTGTATCCGTTTTCAGTTATGGACCATAAGCCCGTAGTTTGTGACACCCCGAACTGCCGGTATGGAAATCTTGCGTATCCGTCGGGTCACATTGAGTGTTACCCCTCAAAGGTCCGTAAGTTATTTCTTCGTCAGTGTTGAAGCTTCCTGTCATTAGCGCCTTTGAACCACGTGGCTACCGACATTGTTCAAAAACCGCAAAAAGTGCATGCACAGAAATGATGCATCACTCCGAAACGCATCGATGTGCTGTAGGAGATCTCCTATCTCAGTGCTTTTAGCATGTTGTTCTGAAATGGTTAACATGTCGATGGGGTTGGGTAAGGGCTATGCGTAACACGTCTACCTAGCAGAATGCTGCATGTCGACGCCGTATGTGCTTTTTTATAACGCACTACCTTTTTTGGTCGGCTTGTGTGCGCATCTTGAATACAGACATTCTGCAGTTTTCCAGACAACTGGGATTAGTTTTCGTTGTTACATGAGGTATCATACCGTACACCACCATAAACACTCAGTTTTCATTTCAGTCACAAACGAAGAAACACCGACGACTTCATCCAGCCATTGGTTGCAGAGTTCTGAGAAGTCGCTTGGCAAATGGACGGGGCAGTGGCTTCGCCTGTGTGAGTTAAAGCTTCGTCTGTACGCAGTACGCTTGAAGTGATTGTATATTTGGTCAGTCAGCCAATGCAGGCGGGGGAATAAGTGGTCCAGTGGGCCATGGTGTCGGCTCACTATTGTGTGGAGTTATCTTGTCACCCCTGCGTCTTTTTGGTGGTCACGCTACCTGGCATAAGAACCGCACCGTCAGAATTAAAGGGAATGTTCCACTTTTGAAGATGTTGAAGCAAGCATTAGACGTGATGAAATAAGCTTACTTTTCTCCATTGGCGTACTTTAATCGCGTAAGGCTGTTTTGCACCACAATTTTTCATTTAGTAAATATGCTTCTCAATGCTTCATGGTTTGATTGCGTCGCGGGGCGTTTGTGTAACGTTGAGGTGCTGCCAAACTAGCCGCGCGAAATTGATATCCAAGCACTCATTTGTAGCACTTGAATCTCCCGGGAGGTGGCCTCGGCGGTGCTACAAGTGTTTGTTGCTGAATCAAATATCGTGATGTGTTTGGGTTTCGGTCCTTTCTCGTGGTGTTTTTGCATATTTATCCGTGGGCTTAGCCTGTTTATTTTTATTCACACACTCGGTTATGGTGCTGTTTTTACATAATTCGACTTACTAGTGTTATTTCGGCGATAACTGATAACCATGTCCAACTTCGTATATTATGTAGCACAAAACGTGATTCGTGAGCGAAATGCACAACCTGATCAACATCCACTGAGGGCCAATTGGCGTGCATTATGTAACGAAATTGTGCTTAAGAGCGCCAGATAGAACGGCTCTGCGTTTATATTCTTAGCCTAGCGATGCTGCTTGGCCAGTGGGTGGCGAACTGACGGTATTATGGCGGCAAGCATGCCTGAATGACCACGGAAAAGCCTGCACGTCTTCGGAGCGTGTAGCTCAGAAACCTGATGGTTTAAAGTCTTAGGAAGGGTAGGGCTGTGAAATGCACCGAACGATCTTCAAAATTGTTCATCTGAGTTCAAAGTCCTACACAGATGTGGAGCATTCCCTTTTAATGTTCGTCACGACAGGATATATATATATATATATATATATATATATATATACATATATACACGCCAATAGCTGTAAGTGAGCTCATTACGTTACATATATGGCATGCTTCAATATCTTCAGATGTGGAACATTGCTTTTAACAAGGTAGTAGACCGATGCGACGGAGACATCGCGATCAAGACGACCTGGGTACCTCTGTCTATGTGAACATCCGTTTTTGTTTTCTATGTGACACTTAACTAATTACATCTGAACTGTGACCCTATCTTGGTGTAGTGTACTTACTACATATAAGTTGACGACCCATCTGTGGCAAAGGCTCACGCGTAAAAGGTCGCATTGTTCTGCCCTCAATAAGAATGTGCGCTGATTGGCACAAGTGTGCAGTGGTTTTCTTGTATGTGCAGGCTAAATACATAGTTGTCAGGCATAAGGCGTGTTATTTGAATAATTGACGGTTACTTACTCGTTAACGGAAGCTCTCTTCAACACGCATAATAGTGCGGAATACCACGAAGCCGTTACGGGGATGCGCGTTGTCTACGGAGCCAAATGAAGAGATGCTGTTGCGGAATAATGTACATTCTGCTCTCTCTCTGATGGAACGTCTGTCTTGTTTCAGACCAGTCGAAACACATGTGCAACGTTTGCGGGAAGATCTACAAACACCGCGAATCGCTGAACCACCACAAGAAGAAACACGAGGGACTGACGACGTGCTACATGTGCGGCAAAGTGTGCTGTATCGTGGCGGAACTGCGGCGGCACCTCGAGCTGGTGCATGGTCTGACTCAGGAAGAGGTCCGGAGGATTGTCCCCACCAAGCCGAAGGAGCGGCTGGGACTGCCTCTCGCCCTGCCGTCTCAGTGTCCCCCTGAGGTGTACCGAGAGTGAAGGAGCGTGCCTCACGAGCAGGCCTCGTTGCGTGCGTGTGTGATCTGGCAAGAGGCGAGGGGATTGCGTGGCGACGGAAGTCATACTTTGCTTGCGTGGTGTCTGCTCTTTTGGTCTGCCATTCGTCACGGCGTCAGACTCAATAGGCCAGTTCGTCGCCTTTAGCGGGTGGTATGCTGCACGATTGCAAAATTTGCAGGATATATCGTGCGTTTGTTGGACATGTTGATGGGACCTGTTTGTTTCAGTATTGTGGCTGGTAGTTCGAGGTGGCTTATTTAGGCTATTGATAAACATTTATGGCATGATATCTTGAGGTAAAAATGCACGCATCATTACGTTAATTTTTGTCGGTTCCGAATTCCCACTCTCTTCGAAGGCAATTGTAACATAAATGGGGGTCAGAAATTGTGTACATTTCTAGCATATGCATGTGACTATGTATGTTTTTTATATTTTCAGTTTCCGTTTGAGCTTCTAATGCATTTGCTGTAAGAACCTCGTAGACTTAATTCGGATGATGAGGAAGAGTTTGGTCGGCCTGCTGTTGAATGGAATGAGCTTTATAAGTTAAAGGGACTTAAACTTTTTTGGCAGTTTTTACGAAAGCTGTCGAAAATAAAGCTGTCTGTTACTGCTTTTCCTTTTTTCTGAAATATTTTGGCGCTGAGGAACTGTGAATCCGTGATAAGTCTAGACGCAGCCAACGTTTGAAGTTGACAATGGCAATTGGCCTGAGGGCTACACCGCTGAGCTTTGTTGGCCATTGCACATTGTACCCGAGAGGTTTGGTAAGTGATGTCGGGCATCTTTGACTTATGCACCGGAAAGGCTCTGGCTGCGAAGCGGCTTCGCTCTTGTCCGAGCACGGGCTCCTGCTCCGGCTGCGAAGTGGCTCCGCTCTGGTCCGAGCACGGGCTCGTGCTCTGGCTGCGAAGCGGCTCCGCTCTGGTCCGAGCACGGGCTCGTGCTCTGGCTGCGAAGCGGCTTCGCTCTGGTCTGAGCACCAGCTCCTTGCCTTGTGTGTGGATCACACGACACTGAAACACGTGCCATGTTCCTGAGGAGCAAGCTTTCATGCAGGCTATTAACTGAGGATGCTCGAGTGAACGTACATGTAAGGTAACAATAGACGTGACGGGCCTAGAGGTCTCCTCAGGAAGGCTCGCTATGTGCTGTGGATTGATCGTGGAGGACCTGGGGCTGTGGATCAATGATCACGTGTATTGCGAAGTAAACGAGGTCTCACCCACTGCAGTGTGACATCGCTCCTTAGAGCGTTTATTGGCAAGTCGTGATGCTCATTGCGTTCTGCGTTTTCCTAAGTGTCGCGAACTAAGTGATGTAACCGGCTGCGGGGACCTCGCTTCGCACCCCCTATGCGCATAGTTTGTACTCGGTATGTTGATTTATGGGTGCAAGACAATAGATGGTCATCAGGGGCATAGTTTCGCGAAATGAATGTAGGGGGGGGGGGGGGCGTTGTAGTGAAAACAAATATGCAGTATACCCCGAAACATGTCAACAGACGGGTTTCTCTCCAAATTTGGCCCACTTTCTTCTCAATGTTGGGGGGGGGGGGGCTGTAGCTCAAGTGTGGAGGGGGGGGGGGGGGGGGGGTTGAACAGGAAACGACACCTCTGGTGCTCATGCTGCAAGAACGCACACTGGTATGGCCCCTGGCAGCTTGATTCGCCGTTGGATGCTCTTGGTGAGTCAAGAAGGGTGACAAAATCCAAGTATCGGTTCAGAGGTCCCGCCCAGCGCCGCCCCATGTACCGTGGCTCCGGTGCTGCCGCCGCCCATGTCTAAGAGCGTGCTCTGTCTCGCCAGGCGGTGTGGCCTGTGAGATCTGTGGCCGGCTGTACTCGCGCGCCCTCTCGCTGGAACACCACAAGAAGGTGCACGAGGGCCTGACCACGTGTCCCGTGTGTGGCGTAGTGGCCAGCCGCGTGGCCCACCTGCGCCGCCACATGGAGAAGGTGCACCACCTGTCGGCCGAGCACATCTGGAGCCTGGTGCCGAGCAGGCGCAGCGGTGCCGCCGTCTGAAGCTGCTGCTCGGACGGGTGCTGCAGGACCGCGGCGGCGACAGGCGACCACCAGTTGTGACCTGAAGATGCACGACAGGTGCCAACGAGGCTAGAGCCACGTGCAAGCCCGATTTGTGAGCCTAGCTTGGAAGGGAGGATGTCGGGCTCGGCTGTTGGCCGCGGTTTGCCACGGATCGTGTTCATGTTCATTTTATCTCATTTACGACGCATTGCTTTAAATATCGAAATGTAATTTCATATGAGCAAGGCATCTAACCACAGGCGTTTCGTCATTACACGTTTTTATATTGGAAATAGCCGGCGTATAGTGTGCCGGGACGTACTGATACTGTAGAGGTTTTAAAATGGCCGTATGTGGCAAAGGTTCACTGGCAATGTGTTTTGATGATAGTTAAGATCGGTTCAGTTAACTCAATGCAGGTATGCCAATGTTTTCGTGATATGGTCGTTCAAGCAGTGCTGGTTATCTGGTGCATTGCAGGTTGGTCATTTTCAACGTACGAACTCATAAAGGGGATGTGATGTCGACCATCGAGCCCGTGTACACGTGAGCACAGTCTGACTGAGAATCATCGCCAAGCATGTTTGATTATCACAAAAGGCGTTATCGCATGTCTGCAAGGAGACGACACCAGTCCCACTCGCCTGTTAGCTGAGTATATGTGGTCTGAGTTATTGTGCTCATCATGACTTCCTGATGTGGCGCCGCGTCCCAAACAACTTAAGTATTAAGCTGCGACTAGTTGCGGATGTGTCTTCGACGACTGTGCATATAGACTTTTAAAATAAATTCCGACAAGACAGTTGGCTTCTTCTATACGACTGAAGTATATGGCATCATGCCAGAATCTACGCTTTCGGAGACAGGGAATGGTATTCCCTGGCATGTGCTTGTCCCGCTTATTGTAAGTGTTGAATGGTTTGTTCCGTGCGTGACTGGTGAATGGCGTTCTCACATAGCACTAGTTCAGTTCTTGGTTATATGTACATTTTAGCTCATGCGCGTTAATGTTCCGTTTTCCCTCCTGTGTCCTTAAACGCACTGTTCAAAGGTTGTGTAATGGTTCAGAAAATGGTTAAAAGTAGCGAAACATGGCAGTCAATCTTCGTTAGGTGATAAGGTCATTCGAAGAAGAAGTGCGGAAAAGAGAAGTCCATGGTGACGCGTAAATCAAGTCTTCGCGTTCTGAGATGGCGAATGATTATCTCCTTTTAGTGATTGGTGAAGTACATGACCACCTTTGACAGTCTACTGGACGTGGCGTCCTTTCAGTCTTCTTACTGATTCCATTTATCGCCATCCAGCTCTGCGCATTTCGTCGGATATTTGCCGTAGCGCTGATCTACATCAGCGTGCTGGTATCTTTATGCCAGCCTGCGGAGGGGCGATCTGGTGACCAGGGCGTGTGCTTATGCTCAGTTCACTGGCAATATCGCTTCCGAACATCCCTGGTCCGGTGCGCTCTAGGCGTGGTTCCAGTACCAACGACTCAGCTGATGTGTCAACACCCGCCTGTAATGCGTGTAGAAAGAGCCATGGGAAAGGCGTACGAATCCTGGATACACAGTCAGTAGCGCGGCGCTTTGTTGTGACATATGTGGAAAGGTGAGTGGACAGATTGTCCACGTGAGGACACCTGGCACTTAAATGGACCGTTCCACATTTGAAGATATTGGGGCAAGCATCACATGTATTGAAAAAGCACACTTGGGCTATTGGTATGCTTTTAAGTGCAAAAGGTGCTCTAAACAACACAATTTTAGTCTTTAGTAAGCATGCTTTTCAATACGTCATCGTTTGATTACGTCGTGGGACGTTTTATGCCGTAAGAGTCGTTGTCCGACTTACTCGTTGTGCTTCTTCGCGCTGCAGGGTGGCGTTGTTCAAGACGCATACATTTTTCGTTTTTGCGTGATATGAACGTGTTTGTTTTTTTACCATGCCTCGTGGTGTACTTGTATATTTTCCCGTGATGGTCTCTTCATGACCTACATTTGAATTTTCGGTTACGACGCTTTCAGCGGTTACGGTTACGACGGTTACGACGATTCTCAGCTTCATGCTCGTCATAACCAGTGCTTCTGCCTGAATGCCTGCGTTATTTCTCACAAAACGCGGTTCGTAATCGATACATGCGATCGGCAGCTAAATATTCATGCTGGCCAATTGCTTGCCATCTTTGGTACACTGGAGCTGAATGACTGCAAAAAGGACTCTTTTGGTGGGCTTATTTTTACTATGGACATAATTCAACCAGCGAGGTGGGGACACTCGCGCGACGCTGCTGTGGCGTCGTACGTGTTGAATAACTTTCAGATAGGCGGCGCGAAATAGGTTGCACAGGTTCGCATGCGTCAAGCTTAGAAGCAAGGAGTTTGAAGTCTGAAATAGGACATGGCTGTGAACGGCAGACAGCGGTCTTGAAAATAGGTGTCAGTTCAGAACTCCATACTTATCTGGAAGTCCCTTGAAAGCTACATCAAACTCAACGGTCTACTCAACGGTCTGCCTAGGTTTTTAGAGCGCTTGGCTGTGAGGAACTGCTTGTGTCAGGTGAACATGGCTGGTAGTCGTTTCAGCTGGACATGCGTGGAAGCATGCTGTTCAGATGATCACCTGCCGGGGCGGGGCTGCTGCCATGCAAGTAACACGCCAGTGTTGAACGCTCCAGTCACCTGACGCTCCACCTTCCCCAGGTGCGTTCGCCTGCGACGTGTGTGGCCGGTTCTACGCGCACGCCGTGTCTCTGGGGCTGCACAAGAAAGTGCACGAGGGCTTGACGACGTGTGCGCTCTGTGGAAAGGTGCTCAACAAAGTGGCCGATTTGAGGGCGCATCTGCGCCAGGTTCATCGGCTGTCAAAAGACGACGTCAAGAAAATTGTTCCACATCGCAAACGTTGAGACTTAATGGCGCCACAACCTTGCCCGTCATCTTGTTATCGATCGTTTGGTGGAAGTTTGGAAAATGTGTATGCGAGACGTTCATGGACACTACCTGCACATGCCTCGGCACAAAAGCACGCGTATGCAAAGCGCGCAGAGACGCGATCACGCATACGCCAACGTCCCATCACGCGACTAGCATATACGTGCAAGCCTAGCAGTGATCTTTGTCCGTATGATTCTCTGAAGACCGAATGTTCAATCTGTGGAAATCATTTGGCTCGAAGCTCAATACATACTGTTTCTGGTGGTTTGTTTCCAGTGTATTGTATTGTGTTTCCCCTGTTGTCAGTTCCCTGGTGTACGTCTGCCGGGCGGTGTTGGTTGCGTTCACGGAGTTCTCCGGCAGTTGCCGACTGAGGGGACGTTGGTGATTTTAATGCGTTTCATTGCCACACCAAAAGTATTTTGTCAAATTGTCCGGACGTGTGGAGAAACTTGTCACCCAGACATGTCTTTGGCGTCCCCATGTTTGTATGCCGTGGTGGATGGTGGTTTGTTTTCATTTTTATATTGTGTTGCCGTAATAAACATGGAACTCGGTATCTAGAAGATATGTGAATCAGTTCTACAGCAGACAGGGAGAACCAGAAGGAAGGAGCAATTGAAAGAATGCGATTGCAAAGATGGCCTCCATTGGAAAATGAAAGCACTCATCTCATAGTGTTGAAAGAGCTTTGTTAAGTCGAGAGATTCATCGTGTCGGGACACATTTGCGGCCTCATCCGCTTCTTTCGCGACATTGCCTCAGAAGCTTGACAGCAACGTCGAATGATCCTACTGATGTAACAGGGCAAGCTCTTGGGAAACATAACTTGGCACACGTGGTTTAATTCTTAGACACATGCCACCTGTGGATGTCAGCAGTAATTTCGCTGCAGTAAACGCCGTAACAGCAGCATTTCCGCACCTCAACAAGCTGTTGGCGGGTCTTTGACACTATTACTGATGTGTCGGCTTCGTGGCGAAAACGCTGTCTGATTCCAGGCTCCAGTAATACCCGACCACAGTCAAGCCCGTCATGCGATTTCTGATCATCTATTTTTCGAATGTGGATAAATTCATTGTTTTACAGAGTTTAGCTTCCGAACCACTCATTGCGGTCTGTGCTTCGCAGGTTCCGTCTCCTGCGATCTGTGCGGCAGAATGTTCTCCCACACCGGCTCTTTGAAGCTCCACAAAAAAGTGCACCAGGGACTGACAACGTGTGTCATCTGCGGCAAAGTGCAAAACAGAGTGTTCGACTTGCGAGTGCATCTTCGCACAGTGCACAAGCTATCCAAGGAAGACATAGCTAGTATCGTTCCGAATCGTAATCGGTAACCGGTAGACTACCGTCTTACCCGCGGTCATGGCAGCCTGTGTGAAAGCTGGGTTCGAAGAGTTAAATGGCTTGTGCGAGATTTCCACATCACAAGGAATTAAGTTTTACCGATATTTACATGGGACGTAACTTGTTTATGGTTATAACTCGCTTCATTGTCCGTTTCATCAATTACTTCATGAGTTATCAGCGTAGTGGTTTCGTTGACTTCCATTGGTTCTGGAATAATAATAAAAAATATGAAGAATACTACCGACCACTTTTACCAGCGCATCGCGCCAGGCAAACGTTATGTCAAGGGCAAAGACCGAGTGTAAGAGCTGAAAAGCCGACTCATCAGACGTTACTTTTACCCAATGACTTCAACTTTGGCACGTTAGTGTGAGCAATCTGAGTTATTTTAATTAAATTGTTGGCAGACATGCCTTTGGATCTCAAGGGTAGGTCCCGGATGTCATAAAGTTTCGTGTATATGTATCCTGGAATCTGTTTCTAGCTTCAGACACATGCCTGATTGTTGGTGCTCCTGGGGTCCCGCTGCTGCGTTATGCGCGTGTTAACTGTTCCCTTTGTGCGCTGTAATCCAGTTCCCATGGACAAACCTGCGCACTCGCCTTAAGCTGGTGCGTTTGGCCTTACGCTTTTCCAGTGAATGATCAATACAGGCATCAAATGTGTTTACGATTCAACTGGTTTTTGTTACAGCGTGATTAAAGATGATCCGATATTGTGATTTAGGCATGAATTCCTTCATATTTCATGTGCGTTTGGAGCCCCGTGTTAGCTCAGGTCTGCAGCACCCATAAACCCACTAGGTAATTTAATATTCATGTCGGCTTACTGGTCCACTTCCACTGATAAATCACAGAATAAATTGTGTTGGCCGTAGCAAACACCATAGCAGTCAGGCAGTTTTAATGCGCGCGATGTAATATGCACACGAACCGATATATATATATATATATATATATATATATATATATATATATATATATATATATATGTGTGTGTGTGTGTGTGTGTGTGTGTGTGTGTGTGTGTGTGTGTGTGTGTGTGTGTGTGTGTGCGTGTGTGTGTGTGTGTGGTGTGTGTGTGTGTGTGTGTGTGTGTGTGTGTGTGCGTGTGTGTGTGTGTGTGTGTGTGTGCAACGCAGTTTGGGTTACGACCTTTTGAGTGGTCCAGATATGAACAGCAAGGTGCGACACTGTTCAGCATTTCTGTGTCATTATGCCGCAAGATGGCAGTTTTAGCACTCATCACCTGAACAAGCACAAGCGCACCCGACCACCATGTGCTCAGTAAATCATTGAACTGGGGAATACGACAAGCACAGCATTTGTCTACTTATGCTCGTAATCATGCGGCCCCTGCGCGCCTTTCCTCCATTACCGAAAAGGGGCTATATTGGAAATGTCCGCTGATAACCATCCAGCTGTGAGGCTGCTTGTGTATGTGCATGTGTGTGTGTGTGTGTGTGTGTGTGTGTGTGTGTGTGTGTGTGTGTGTGTGTGTGTGTGTGGTGTGGGTGTGGGTGTGGGTGTGGGTGTGGGTGTGGGTGTGGGTGTGGGTGTGGGTGTGTGTGTGTGTGTGGGTGTGTGTGTGTGTGTGTGTGGGTGTGGGTGTGGGTGTGTGATCGCACAACTGTGTCATGAGTTGGCGGGTTTTTCGACGGCACAGCAACCGGGCCTGATCTGACATGTGATCAATAAAAATCCCGCCTGTACACAGTACTGTTTTGCCCGCCCCCGTTTGTCAGCGATATTTGGACGCGAATGACCTTTGACGTCACTTTGTCCTAACACTCCCAAGTATCACTCGTGAAAAGCTGCGGAACCATTCAGTGAACCGTAACGGACTGGTGCGAGTTAAGTTTTAAGCTTTTTTGCACGTGCACGACAGGTTTCAACCTATTCGCACCCTAAATCACTTACTTATCATCTTGCTCTTCATATCTCTGCGCGGCGAAAGTTTGAAAAATCTGTGATTTGTAACCCATTTGTATTTCTTTGCGTGTGACATCCTGACGCGTAGTGGCCATGAGAGTGTTATGTGATTATTTTATAATGTTGTCAAGGTCTGTACCCTTCTTTAATGCCATTTTATGTCTGAGTGACCAGGTTAATCTCGGAACTCACGTCAGGCAATGCATAGCATGTTAACTATGAGCCTATATAGCAATCGACAACAGTTATCGATAACAGCCCCGCAAGCACTTTTTGAAATAATATCACGTGACTTGAGTAAGGTAATTCCGTGACAAGAGACAAGTGGTGTGCCGGAGCATCACCTAAACCAGAGCCAAGCGTCTTTTCTTCATGGAGAGAACGATGATCCCTTTACGTAACGGATGTCATTACGAGCTCTGTTGCTCGTGATACCCGTGCCATGAGGTTCCTTCCGGAGTTTTCGTCAGCTGCCTTTGATCCAGTGGTGTAGGTTTGTACGCAGTCTTGTCCAGTCTTGTGCGCATTTGCACCTGCCTTTGGGCATCTGCCATGGGCTTCTGCATCTACCTTTGATGAGAGTCATCGTACCATGTCATTTCGCAAGTGGAAGTGACTGTCGAAACGGGTGCGAGGCCACTTAGAATTGAACAAGAGACCGCTTAACCTTTATCGTACAAATGTTCCAGAAGACATGCGGGGCTAAATCGCGTTTTTGCAGTGTAGTTTGTTTCGCTTAATCAGATCTGGAATCATCATTGAGGGGGTGCCGGTAGTGTGATTAACGCGTCTGAGTTAACCACAGCGTGTCTGGGAAACCAGAGGTGTGAGGTTCGATTCCCCGCGGTTCCCGCTCCTCCTGCCAGGGTGAGAGGCAGGCGACGCCATATAGCCTGAGCAACTGAATGCGTCTTGACAAGCCGCAATGACACACACACGAATCATCGTTGCGCACCTCGTGCGCTACCGACGGCAGCTAAACCACTGAAGCCTGCTAGCTGCGGTCCAATTCAGCGGCATTGGCGAATCCTGTGGCTGACTGCCGGCACGCCTGCGCTGGGCTGTGACGTCACTGGTCAGCGTACCGATTGACGCCGGTGACGTGCGTGCTCCTCCTGCTGTGCCGTCTCCGATCCCATATCCAACAGCAGTCACTCCACGGGCGTAATGGCCGGCTGGTTAGCGGCTCCCACGTGACGACCTGGGTCACAATTCCAATAGAGTCATGTCCTGTAGGTGCCAATGTGACCTCTGCAGTCGCTGGCAGTACATAGGGAAGAAAAAGACTAAAAAGCGCGCCAGACGGCGTGCGAAGCGTTCCTAAAAAGCCACCAGGCGCTCCGTGCCAGGGCGGCGCCTCCTCTCGGCGTCTGTCATCACCGCCGCCTCCCCTCGGCGTCTGTCATCACCGCCGCCTCCTCTCGTCGTCTGTCATCACCGCTCGTCCTCCGCAGGGCCGCTGTTCTGCGATGTCTGCGGCCGCAAGTACTTCCACGTGAGCTCCCTGGCGCTGCACAAGAAGGTTCATGAAGGCCTGACGACGTGCGTCATCTGTGGCAAGGTCTCCAGCAAGGTGGCCAACCTGCGCAGACACCTGGAGAACTCACACAAACTGTCCCAGGAAGAGATACGGCGCTTGGTTCCGGTCAGCAGGCTTAATTACGTGCTTTAAGGGTGTTGCCACCAGTGTGCTGCTGTCTACAATAGTTTCACCTCGCTGGAATGATGCCGTTTTGGGCGTCAGCCTATTAGGTTCCTTCGTTGGGCATGTATTGTGAAGTGCGCCACCAGTGCGTCCGATGATACACGCGTTTTTCATGGCATGTGACCAGCAGCGGCCGCGTTTTTCACGCTATGACGGGCGGTTACATTTTCTGGCCAACTTTTTCGTCAACCAACAAACACCGTCTATTATTTCACTGTATCGCCATCAGACACTCATTTCGGATGGACTGTACTCATTTGGGCTTGCCCATCCTGCGGGAATCGCCTCGGTGATGTGGTGTTCCGTGGTTGGGCTTCATCGACTGTACTGCGCATGTGTGGTTGCCGTGGAGCGTTGTGTCCGGTGAAACTGCGATTTCCAATGCCGTGGCACTCGTTTTCAGAACTTTGTATAAATGGTGAAAAGCTGAGAATATAATGGCGAGGGCAATGTTTTTTAAACTGGCGCTTCTGAGGAGTACCTGGCTGGGTTTGAATGAGCTGCGACGTTTGCTGATAACGAAGGACCGTGCTTGCGTCGTAACCCTCTCTGCAACTTGGGCAGCTTGGTGACGTTGGGCGGTATACTACGTCCCCATCCTGATTCCAAGCCCGATGAACAAATGAAGGCAAGTGCTGGAGCCGATACGGGATCTTCAAACCAGTATTTTAAAGATAAAGACGAAATGGCAGGCTAACAAAGAGCCACAAGGGCCAAGCGAGGTTGGCCTGCCCTAGGCTTTGTACACATTCTCGACGCTGATCTCACCACCTGACCTGCCTGAATTTAGCTTTAAATGATATCTTTGGACCGATAGAACTTGTCCCAGTGATTTGATAATGCTAAAAGAGGGACTTTCTACAACTTCGTGTTGCAGTCAATTCCAGTGATACGCTATTCTTTGATTGAGTGACATCTGCCTCTTCACAGTTCATCTTCATCTCTACTCCTACTTTTCATCTCTATTCCTACCTTTTGCTAATTGAGGCTAGTTTCCTCTAAGTCTCGGCCTACTCTCCAGTGCCCTGTAGGTGTACCTTGTCTATCCCTTTCATAATCTTTAAGTTATCTAATGGATCACATGCGGTTACATATGTTGTATTACAGGTATTGGGGAATAGGAAACTGTCCGGAGAACTAGAAAATTTCCTGGCATGCCAGGGTGTTCGCGGATTGCCGTAGGGAGTTTGCAAGCTAGTTGGTTCGCCAGGGACTTCGCAAACATCTAGGAAGTTTTCAGGCTCCTTTGTAGGGAGTCCGCGACATCCCTAGGTTACATGTAAACACAGAATTTAATTTTGCATCACACTGAAGTGGTAGAAGCCAATGATGTATTAAGGAGTGTGCATGGAGGGCTTCTGTTCCCCCTGATATAAATTATGTTTTAGACTCCAATATGCATGTGCATAAATGTTGCCATTTAAGAATTCGAGATAGACATGTAAGACTGATTGCGTCAAAAATGTTTGTGGTTGTACACCATGCACAGATTTTTGCGATAACCGTGCAGACGATAGAAATCCTGCGGTCTGTACATCAGTAGCAAATTTCCTACTGATATTCGTTTCGATAAAGCCATGTAGCCGAAATATCATGCCTATCTCTCCACTCTCCTGTTTATTTTACGAGGAATATGGCTGTCAATACTGTCTCCAAGTATGTATCCTAGTGCCATTTGTTGTTCAGTGTCTAGTTAGGCACAAGCGTCTCCCCATCGAAATGTATATTATGCCAGCAGCTATCACAGCCCATCATCCTTAGCTATCACCGTCACCATCATCATCATCTTCTTCAGCTTGAATATGCCCTACAACGATCACAATCATTGCTGATCCGTTTGAACTGCTGTAATGTAACTCATTGCATCGAAACACACAGAACATCATTTACCTCAGACATCCTTGACAAACTGATGACAGCGCTGACTCTTCAGTGCAAGACGGCCATAAAGGTTGCTTCTTGTGCCCATCGTTGCCAGAGCTATCGTGGACCAGGCTTTGGCCAATCTCAGCGCATGGCGCCCAATGCGTCGCACCTTCCTGGCAGCTGACCTTGCCTTTAGGCTGGACTATTATCCAAGGGAATATAGGCAGCTCTATAATGTTGAACGTCCAGCTTAGGTTACAAGTTTTGAATCATTCTCAAAAGCCCCTTATTTGAGCGACATAGGCAGACTGCGTGGTTTCAGTAAAACCACAAAACTGCCTTGCAAGGCCCCAAGAAAGGCATGAATATTGCATTCCTTGGGTGGAGGTAAAGTATTTAATGTGTGCAACATGACACAGCGTCCACCTCAGATGTGGTGCCACTGCAGCAAACAGCGAGTGACGAACAGGTAGGCGGCGCGCGATTTAATGCGTTAGAGGAATATATGTCTGCTGTGCCCCCTTCCCGAATGCATGACGAGTTAGTGTTATTCTATTAGCCAGTGCAATTAAAGTCGGGTTTTGCATAGATCCCGGGGATTTGCACCAACTTTCTGAAAGTTTTTGAAACAGTGAAAAAAGTTTTTGAAAGTCCTGCCTGTGATGTTTCGAAATGCCCCGCCACCCAGGGAGTTTGCAAATGCCGGGGAATTTGTGAACACCCCGGTAGGTCTAGGAGCTCGCAAATCAACTAGTTAATGTGCCAGCTCCCGGCTTTGTCACCTCCCTGTAATATACACACACGTTGCGTCTAACCTGGTCAAATCACGCTTATGCTGCCTTAAAGTTGTTTTGCATGCATCCGCGGAACTGGCTCAAGTTGACCGATCTCTTCTGCTACTGTTTCGGTAAAGGCATACTGCCGAAATATTAACCCAACTATATCTCTATTCTCCTGGTTTTTCTCCGAGGAATAAGGTATTACTACTGGCTGATCTCAGAACTGATGACACACACTAATGACGTTTATCTCCCACTCCTTAAATGCGAGACGAGGCGTCGTACTCGTTTACCTATACTAACTTTTATGTTATCTATTTATATTTATATTATATATATATATATATATGTTTACATGATTTAGATTTATAGGAAATCGATACCAGAAATAAGATCATCGGATATCGATAGGTTATCGTAAAAAGTTGACGCCAGATGACGAGTAAGCCGTGTCGGCGATACCGACGACACTAAGCCATTGCTAATCAGCTCACCCGTGGCTGGGAATGTGAATGTGTCGGCAGTGGCGTCATCGCGGGTCCTGCCGCGGCGGAGGAGGAGACAGCAGATAGGGCCATCACCCCAAACATGACGTGCGGCAGTCCCCCGGCTACAGCCACAGGCCTCCCCCAAAACTTGCTGAAAGCACTGCAGTGTGAGTTCAGGGTTATCTCTGACTCATCAATATGATATGCTGTTCTATTATTTATATCGCACTATGTTATAAATTGTGCTGAAATTATCTCGACCTTTAAAATGCTGGTTGCACAACGTTATAAGGCAAACATTGCTCATATTGAGAATGCTGTGACATGCTACTTACACATACATTTGTTATATTGTCAATGCTGAGCTTTGAGTTTGTAATTAATGCGAGTGCCATAACGTCGTTTAGCCAGTGAATCCTGGTATATCGAAGGTCGATTACTCGGACCAAGAACTCTTAAGTTATAATGCCAAAACTAGAAGCTGAGAGCCTTTCTCACATATGTCGAGTATAAGCTCTGCAATCGGTAAAAGACCGCGTTTTTCGAACATGCGTTTCTCGGCTGTCCAATAGATGTGACGCAGTACCGTCCTCGCGCAGAACGATTTTCAACTGTGATGAAAAACACAAACTCGCAGTCCACCTTCGATTATTTATCACCATGTAATGGAATTGAGCGTACTACGAGCGTTTAGTTAGTTTTTACGCCGGAACCATTCCGATTCCTAAATACAGTTGGTCACCTAAAGCACGAAAACCTCAAATAATATCACTGCTACGCTTGCCCTTGATCGTGGCGCTGTCGTTTATAACTCAGCCATAATGAACGATACGCGACGTGGGGTTGGCATGCTTTTGCGATCATAGTAGGAGCAAAGCTTAGGTGAATTATTGCGGCGTGAGTAGGAAACTTGAAACGAAAGTACCAGAATAACTAGGAGAGTGTGTGCAGGCATCTGCATAATGGGCTCAACAACGGTTTCTTTCGGTGGGTCCAAGCCGTTTTAAGAAGAAACCGGTTGTGTTCGGTTTCGGTCCTACAGCGCCGCCTGGCGAACTTAGGTGCTCACCGAATCAGAACTGGGCTGTAGATTATTCGAACAGTCCATGCAAACATTCAGACTTTTCGACCTCGCCGTAGGCAACCCGCATGGTGTCTTGTTTTTAAATGGACCGTGAAGCACGCTTTCAGACCGCTTTTGTGGAACGCCAGCCGCTGCATTGGTCACATCAGCTCTCAGCGGTCATGGCCCGACCGGGATTCGAACCCGGACCCTCACCTGGGAGTCCGATGCGCGAACGACTCGGCCATTACGCCCTTGCATGGCATCTGCCTTTGGTCGGCGGTGTTTATTTGAAGCAGCCCACACGGGATCGTTTTCCCCTTTCGCATACCTTTGACCGACTGTATAACGTGATGGATTTGCGGTCAGTCCTTGCCAAGTGCAGCTCAGACAAAGCTCGTGCAAGATTTGTCCCTCTGTGTAGGCCACGATCCGCCTGCAGGGCTCGTCACTGTCGCTTCAAGCAAAGCTGGGCAGTTCCGTGCATGCAGGCAACACAGCCGGCCAGCACTTGTCACAAGTCCGAGGACCCCTGGTGTGGTCTCAGAACTAGCCGTACCACGGCGTGTTGCTTGGTAAGTCGCAGCTGCATGCTAACTGCACGCTGTGACATTTCGTACTTGGTTCCTGTTTGTCATGTTTCCCGGGAGCTCATAGTGCGTCTCTGTCTCCGAGCAGGCCCAGAACCTCACCCATCGGCCCAGCCCCTCATCGCATGTCCGTGCACGCTCGCCACAGCTCTGAGCGGCCTTGAGCGGCAGCTCTGAGCGGCGGCTCTGAGCGGCTCTGAGCGACTCTGAGCGGCCTTGAGCGGCGGCTCAGTCGGCCGGCCTGTCCGCTGTTCCAGAGGGCGAGCGGTTGCCGGTACCAGTGTGACCTGTGCGGTCACGTGTACCGGCGGCGCGACTCTCTGACCGACCATCGGCTCCACCATCTGGGACGGACCCGCCTGCCACGTCTGCGGTGCCGTCTACAGCACGGTGCGCAGCCTTCGCCGCCACCTGCGCGACGTGCACCGGCTGCCGGCCGACGAGGTGCGCCGCAACACGGAGCTGGACGCCCCGGCCGGCCCTGCGCCGCTCTGAGCAGTTACCAAGGACAGCCCGGTGCTGCTCTGGGGACCGAGGACGGCCCGATCTCGCTCTGGGGACCGAGAACGGTCCGGTGCTGCCCTGGGGACCAAGGACGGCCCTGCGCCGCTCTGGGTACCGAGGACGGCCCGGTGCTGCTCTTATTACCAAGGACGGCCCGGAGCTGCTCTGGTTACCAAGAACGGCCCGGTGTCGCTCTGGGGACCAAGGACGGCCCTGCGCCGTTCTGGGGACCAAGGACGGCCCGGCGCCGCTCTGGGGACCACGGACGGTCCGGTGCTGCTCTGGTTACCAAGGATGGCCTGGCGTCGGTCTGGTCACCAAGGATGGCCCGGTGTCGCTCTGGTTACCATGGATGGTGCGGTGTCGCTCTGGTTACCAAGGATGGTCCGGTGCTGCTCTGGTTACCAAAGATGGCTCTGCGTCGCTCTAGGGACCAAGGTCGGCCTGGCGTCGCTCTGGGGACCAAGGACGGCCCAGCGCCGCTCTGGGGACCACGGACGGTCCGGTGCTGCTCTGGTTACCAGGATGGCCCGGTGTCGCTCTGTTCACCAAGGATGGCCCGGTGTCGCTCTGGTTACCATGGATGGTCCGGTGTCGCTCTGGTTACCAAGGACGGCCCGGTGTCGCTCTGGTTACCAAGGATGGCCCGTTGCCGCCCTTGGGGACCGAGGACGGCCCGGTGTCGCTCTCGTTACTGAGGACGGCCCGGTGTCGCTCTGAGGGCCGAGGACGGCCCGGTGCTGCTCTGATCACCGGTGCCGCTCTGATGAAGATAAAGTCTATTGTGGTTCCGCGATGATGGTGCAGCCGATTCTCCTGCTTGTAATGTTGGAGCGGACTGTACAGTTTGCGATGGTGGAGCCGACTGTGCTGCTTGTGATGGAGAAGCGTACTGCAGACTACTGCTTGTGATGGTGGAGCGGACTGTACTGCTCATGATGTCGCGGATCGAACTGCATTGCTGGTGATGGTGGAGCGGACTGTACTGCTCATGATGGCGCGGATCGAACTGCATTGCTGGTGATGGTGGAGCGGACCGTACCGTTTGTGATGGTGGTGCCGACTGTGCTGCTTGTGATGGTGGTGCCGACTGTGCTGGTTGGGATGGTGGAGTGTACTGCAGACTACTGCTCGTGATGGTGGAGCGGATTGTACTGCTCATGATGACGCGGAGCGAACTGTATTGCTGGTGACGGTGGAGCGGACTGTACCGTTCGTGATGGTGGTGCCGACTGTGCTGCTTGTGATGGTGGAGTGTACTGCAAACTACTGCTCGTGATGGTGGAGCGGACTGTACCGTTTGTGATGGTGGTGCCGACTGTGCTGCTTGTGATGGTGGAGTGTACTGCATAAGCCGTCTGTTTTGGGACCTGGCCGACTATGAGCCGTACGTCGAGCTGCGGTGGGCCGCTGCGCCGCGGCTCACCGTGCGAGCGGACAGCTCCTGTGTCTGACCGGCGTCTGGGGCGGGTGACCCCTCCGTCCTTCCGTCGGGAATGTGAATGGAGTGAAGCTTTTTGGAAGTCTGTGTTCCCAACATCAGGGATCTGCATCAGTCGTCTGTGGAGATGAGAGAAAACAATTACCTTCTGTGGCACCTGTGGGGACAGTGCTAAACGCTAGTCTTCTGTTGCAGCTGAGTCCAACCACGGCCTCTTGCCGAGATCTGATAACACAACGGTCTCCTGCCGAGACCGGGTAGCACGGCGGTCTGCTGCCGAGACCGGGTAACACGGCGGTCTACTGCCGAGACGGGGTGACACGGCGGTCTCCTGCCGATACCGGGTAACGCGACAGTCTCCTGCCGAGACCAGGTGAAACGACGGTCTCCTTCCGAGACCGGGTAACACGACGGTTTCCTGCCGAGACCGGATAACATGACGGCCTTCTGCGGAGACCGGGCAACACGGCGGCCTTATGCCGAGACCGGGTAACATGACGGCCTTCCGCGGAGACCCGGTAACACGACGGCCTTCTGCCGAGACCTGGTAACACGGTGGTCTGCTGCCGAGAGCGGGTAACACGGCGGTCTTCTTTCGAGACCGGGTATCACGACGGTCTCCTTCCGAGACCTGGTAACACGGTGGTCTCTTGCCCGAGACTGGGTAACACGGCGGTCTCCTGCCGAGACCGGGTGGCATAGTGGCATTCTGCCGAGACCGTGTAACACGACGGTTTCCTGTGGTGGTACCGTACCACCTGCGTACGGCCTCGCTGAGGATGTAATCAATCGCCGACATTCTCCGAAGATAGACTCAAACGACGGTCATCTCCACGGATCGAGTCAAACGACGGCCCTCTCCGAGGATCGAGTCAAACCACGGCCTTCTGTGGGCTTAAGGCAGACGCCAGATGACCTTTCCTCTGTTGGGTTTGATATTTTGGATGTTTATGAGACAGTGGTTGGTGTCCAAGAACAAAAAGTTACATTCTTGCGTGGGGTTCAAGATGTGCTTGTACTCTTCCCCAACTAAACGCACTCATACCCCGAGGCTGCAAAGTCCATTTAGGACCAAACACGCGGAACTCAAATATAGCATGTTTTAGTTAGAAGTAACTGACTCGAATATTATTAACCGTTTTTTTCTTAATCATGTGTGGAAAAATTGAAACCCCTCTACAAGGGCATATACATAGCAGCAATGAGACCCACCAGAGCAACCACATATAGATCATGCGTTTGTCAGCGAGGCACTATTCTATAACTTTAACGCATATGCCAGGATGAATGCGGACGTTAGAAGTGATTATAGTATCATTGCGGCCGCTGTCACATCAGCCACGCGCCGACGAGACCCGAGCTTCTCAGACTCAGCGATGAACTGTTGGCAGGCGGAGTTTGCAGATTTGGCAACCGAGTAAGTAGCGCGTACAAAAAAATGGTCTAGGTATTTTCAACAGGGAAATGAGTCGTGATGCGGTAGTAGGAATGCTGCTCGGCAGCAAGCGCGTCATAAGCGTAGTAAAAAAATAGCACGTGACCTATAGACGCAAAACAATCAGCTAGTAGGTTACGGATAGGGAACAACGGATGTTTTATGAAATATGCCGACAAAAACTGGACGAACTAAATATCAGACCTGCCAAAAAAGCAAAGGTAACCTCCGGGGCTAGGCAAGTGGAGTAAAGGGGAAAAACGACGAGCGTTTTCTGGCAGCAGGAAACAAATGCGATTGCTCTCTTGGGAGCAATCTAATTCCAAAACTCACTGAACAGGAGCGCAAACCACGTGACGCCTGACGGTCCAGTTAGGGGTGATGACCGCAAGCCAGCCATTCTGCTGAGTGCGCACGGTCGCACCGTCCGTTCGCGATAAACTTTTTTTGAATATCTTCCGCAATTTATCCACAATCGCCCGAATGGTAAACCGCGTTCAGCAATGCACTATCGAGCGGTCCATCAGCATAATTTATGGATGCCATCGTTTTACCATTCCACCTTCGTCGGCCTCCTCCACCATTGATGTGACCTTATCTGGTCACACCGGTCAAATATGGGCAATCGGCCGAAAAGGCTGATACGGCATCAGCTGATTGCCCTCCCACCGTTCTTTCAGATGCTCAAGGGCATACCCTTCCCACACGACAATACAAATTTTCACAGAAAAAAAACAACTATTTTGACCACTACGCTCGGGTCGCCCTCCAGCTTTTACTTATGGGATGTATAAGGGTCGTGCCAACAATATCAGCATCATCAGCCAAAGACCGCGTCACGGTGTCAGCTGGTTACGCTCACATACCGCTGGCGAATGTAAATGTTTCCACGCTTCGCGAAAGATTATCATAACTTCTAAAGCTCCCGTGGCTCCTGATTTAGGCCACTCGCCTGCATTTGATAAAATATCGCCGCAGGGGTCATGCAAAAAGGGAAGATGTGTGCTGTCGCCAAACAAGATATTGGTGCGTCAGGTGAGTACACTTCCATACTTCTGCCAAGCGAAAAATACTACGCTTTCCGTGAAAGAATAAAGCTGTTGTTCAAAAGCTTCCTTGGTTTAAAAAATCCTCGTTCTCTGCTTCCTAACCAATTACAGCCCTCAGCCATCCGAAGAAACCTCTACGAGGCGAGTGAAACAGGCGCTGAGCCTCAGAACGCTTTTTTGAATGTTGGCAAAACCGGACGAGACAAAGCCCAATTTTTCACAAATTGGGGGTACATGAGGCATAAGTGTGGGGGGGGGGCATGTCCCACCGGTCAGAAACAGCGGAACCGGCCGATGATCGCAGCCGACGAACGAAATCGGCAGGACTCGTCTTAAACCGTGTATTAACAGTTAAACAAACCTCACGCAACATCATTGTCATAAAGCTGAAATTCAAGAAAACCTGTTTGAAGACGTGATCTCCACATCTTTCAACAAATTCGGGGGGCAAAGCATTTTTGCAGGACGATCATCACTCGCGCTTTTCTTAAAATGTGGCGCACGGGGCATTTCATGTGGTATATATATATATATATATATATATATATATATATATATATATATGTAGCCTCGATAGATTAAACGTGATCATCCGTGCCGATGCGATGCTTCGGATCTCGTAGAGCATCTGGTGGATGTTCTCGCTCCTATTGTTCGCTAGTTCACTGATGCTTCAGATCTCGCCAAACATTTGACGGATAGCCCCGCTCCTACCGCTCGCTGGTACACTGACGTTACGAGAGCAGAATTTGAGTAGCATGTTTGTATGTAGAGTAGCATATTTAGCATGTAGTAGTAGCACTTTGTGAAATCATAAGTCGCGTGCATAATCAAATAGCATCTTACTGTAGACAAACGAACGAAGTCGCGATCCGCATAACAGAGAAGGGAAGGGGAGCCTCGAACAACAGAGCGCCAGCAAGCAAGCGAGCGGGGCTGTAGTTCAAAATCTCCATTTCCGCATGACAGTAGAATTGTCGATCGCTGTAGCAGCGTCCGCGGCGTCGTCAGCCGCTTCAGCGCCGCACGCCGTACGATGCAGCAGCGCCACGCCTTGTCAGGTGGT